TATATGCCATTCCAAAAAAAACTTTCCAGCTAAAACCAAAATCTGTATAAAACATATAAACATCATTCAACTTATAAGTTCTAATCAAAAATTGTATAGATAATATTTTAGCAATTTCTAATTCTTTTTTCAAATTTATTTATTTCTGGCAAAAAATAATTCCTTTGTCTTGGATTCTAAACCCTATAACATCCCTTTTTTGGCCATTCATATTAAGCAATACAAAAATATTTATTTTAATCAAGACTTTTCTTTTATAGAATGATTGAGTTTTTGCTGCAATATTTTATTAATTCTCCATTATAATTTACATTCATATTAAAATTAACTTAATTTTATTTTTAAAACCCAAAAAAAAAGTTATTTTTAAATAAGTATTTGTATTTGTGTGCCTAAAATCCTGTCATTGCTTTTTTAGCTTCAATGCTATACAATCATGTGAACGTTACCGTTGATATTGTGTATCCTGGTGATTTTACTGATTTATGTTCATTGCAAGAGTTTGGGGGAAAATGTTCCCAGTTGTAAGCCCAAAACCGACCATTTGCCAAATACTCGTATAACATAAATTTAGCAATTTTCATGCTCCTACTTACACTCATTTTTCACAGGACTCAATGTAACTCAACTCGGCTGTACTCAACACACCATGCAGCCGTTAATGGTGAAACATGTAAGGGGTGACTTTTGGCGTGAATGTATTAGTGAATCCTGCAAAAAGACAATAAAACATTATGTGAAAAGGCAAGCATAACAGTTACCGACAAAAGCTCCTTCTAGAATTCACACACTGCGAATATCCTTCGTTCAAAATCGTTGTCGTAGTCGTCGTCGTTTAAGCTCATCGTGCAATGCTTTTTACTGAGTTTGTACTTTGAGACCAAATTCAAATGCTGGTCGCACCCTGAATTTTCTTCGTGATGTAAGTTCTGGGGCAGTCGGTCTCTGCATTTTCGCTTGTTTTTACATATTTAAGGCTTGTCTATTGTGTGAAGAAGCAAAAACCAGAAATTTATTTATAGTTTTTAGTTTAAAAATTTTAAAAAAATATGGTAAAAAATTTATTTAATATTGGATACTGCAATAAATTGTGAAAGTTCATTAAAATTTAAATTTTCAAATAAAAAATGTTTTAAATTTGCATAAAAGGCGTAACACAAGCTATGAAAAAATTGTCAAAAAATTGTGAAAAATGTTGTAAATAGTGAAGAGAGTAATTGAAAATTTATATAGTATACTTACACTTTTGTTTATACAAAATAAATACAAAAATCTGAAAAATAACGAACTAAGTGCATAAAATGAAGATATCAACAAAAAATGTTTATGTGAAAAAAATATAAAATCCTTGTTTCAGTGAAAATATCAGGAGCTGCGCATTTGTGCCCAAAATTTACGAATTATTATATGAAATACTGTCACTTTTTAATTTAAAATGAGTTTTAAATGATTTTATATTTAATATTTTTGAACTCAAAATAAAAGTTTTACTAAACTGTTACGAATACTTATGTTTTCACTCTACATTATTTGACATATAAAAATACTAAAGACTTATAGACATATTGTACACTTTTGTCGGGCTGTGCTCCTAAATTTCTTTGTTCAACGAATTACTTGACTCTGCACCAAACTTAATTTTACTCTACACACACATATACATATATACTTATGTATTTTTATATTTATCTGCATAAGTCTGAAGCAGCTACCTTCTGTATTTTAGTGTTGAATAAGACTCGGTGGTCTCTGTGTTGTGTATTTGTGTATGTATAAGACGGACCCTGCACTCCCAATTCTAAAGCTTATGCACTAAAAACAGATTGTGAAGCAGTACTAAACGCACCTTGCCAACTAATATTTTAAATGAACAATATATTTTTGTTATAAGCATGTGAATTTTAAAACAATTAATTTTATAAATCTTTAAGCGTTTAATATTTAAATAATTATAATTAAACACTAAAATAAATGATTTTAAGAAGTTTAAAAAATCTTAATAAGCAGAAATGTGTTAGTTGATAATTATTATAATCTTAATTAACTAAATATAGAAGAAATATAAGTTCTAAAAATTAAAATTTTTCGTTATTCATTTAATTTATATTAATTATTGTATATGAAATCACTTAGAATTAATTTATTGTTTAAATTTTAAATAATTTCTTAAGCTACTATTCAAAAAATTTAAATAAAATTTTAAGTGATACCGTGTTTTCTCCGTTTAATATCGCAAAGTATTTCTAGATTTTTAAATTCTTTAAGCATCTCGTTTCAAAGTCTTGAAATAATATTTTTTAAAGAATAATTAAAACTTGAAGTTCTTTATAGGTGTTGTATTTTAAATATTTTTTGATTATTTAAACAAAATTTCAATTAATAGAGTTATCTTAAAAATTAATTCTTTCAAATAATTTTTCAATTATGGACCCATATTTAATTGTGAATAAAGTAAAAAAATAATATTATTGTTAATAGAGTAAAAACATTTTCAATTAGTTTATGTCAAGAAAACACTCATACGCACTGTTGTGCATTTTGAAATCAAAAATTCTATAAAACTAAATGATCAAATTTTCAACATTTTATTGTAAATAAAGAAGTATTATTAATTCAAAATAAAAATTTTAACAACATACATTTTAATATTTTTTTAATTAAATTAAATAAAATTTTAATATTTTTTCTTTTTATTGCAAATGCATAACTCATACGCACTGTTGTGCTTTTGAAACAAAAGAAAAAAATAAATAAATTTAAACATTTAATTGTTTGTCACAAATAATGGTTTCTTGTTAAAACAAATTAAAAGAGTTCATCTATTAAAAATAATATTAAATAAGTTTTAGTTTTATTTTTGTTTTTTAAAAGGTAAATTCAAAATATTTATATCACTCATTTAAACAAATTTAGTCGATAATATAATAATTTTATTTTTTATGATTCTTAGAAGATAATCTTTAAAAAGTAATTTTTTTATTTTAAGAGTTTTATATATTTAATAATTGTTCTTTTTATTTTTGTATTAGTTTGTTATAAGAACATTTGTACTCATTTTCTGAATATATACTATATAACCTCCTTATTGTGAATAAGTAAATAAGACAATATTTCCATTGGTATAATTTTTTGTAAAGAATAAGTAATATAATTTAAAATAAACTTATTTCGATGATGTTATTAGAGATAACTTGTTTAAATTTTTTGTGTTTATTATTTATAATTTTTTTCCTTGCAACAATGCAGTGTAAGTCTTTATTTTTATAAACATTCAGTAATTTATTCAATAGTGTTGATATTTAATTTTACAAAACAATTAAAACTTGAAGTATTGGATAGGTATATGCAAAATAACTGAGCTTATTCAAATTTTAAATATTTTTAAAATCTTAAAAAATTATTAAATTGTATATGTGAAGTTAGCTGCGATATGAAGACTATAAAAATAATAAATTTAAAAAAAAATTTTGTTGTAGTCATATATTTTAGATAAATAATGAAAATGTGTTGGTGTTATTAATGTACCAAAAAAATTTTTTTGTTTGAACTTAATTAAATACATGAACGTGGACAAAACACTTTTATTTCAACATTTTTGAAATATTTCTATCAAAAGACTTAGAATTGTATAATACTTAAACTCTTAAAATGTGCACATATATTAAAAAGCCATAAACTTTAGGCCAATTACCAAGAAACCTACTAGCCAACATTCAAGTCATTTATGCGACAGAAAATAAATAAAATCCTATCAAAAGGAACACAAGTGGGCAAGAAATCAAAAACTCCGACATTCGAGTAAACAAAAATGTACACATGTGTGCCTCGAACAAATACGTCTATTATCAGGCAGAGCAAGGCTTTCGTTTTTATCGAGCATACTGTGACACACATTAAAAGCACATATGTTATAAATGAAACATATTACAGCACCAAAAAAAACGAATAGACGCTGTTGGCAGGACTAAATACAATGCTCATTTCAAACAAAGTGTAACTGCTCTGTTGCCTTACTGTGACTTTTCTGCAATGCGTTTCAGAATTTCCTTTTGCTTTTCTTTTTCTTTTTGTTTTTGTTTTTGTTTTTTGATCTTATAAAGTATTGTCCCTAAGCTTTGCCTTTGACTTTTTCAAGTCAAATTGTATTGCGACATAAACCGAAATCCTTTCAGCACAAAAATGGATCCGATTTTTGTTTGTTTTTATTTTTGTTTGTGTGCAGAACTGCACACATGCAACTGTACATGTCAACGAAATATTTCTTGAACATAAAAGCTTCTTTGTTGAGTAAAAACACACAAAACTCACAGAGTTCAGAAGAGAAGAGAGCACACTTGCCTCACAATAAAGGATACCATTTTATTTCTGACGCTCTGTGCAGCGCCTAGAGCGAAATTTCCTTAGCATACTTTTAGAAGTCTGCTTGTGTTTGATTAAAGTTGTATTTTAGCAAATAAACCATGCACAAATTGAGCTACAATAACAAAAAACCTGGAAGTCAGTACGTTTCATGTTACGGCTTAAACAAACCGACGAACCGATGACTACAATGACTACGGTGTCGACGGCGACCTCGCGTACCAAACATATTGTTTTCGTCCTCGAAACTGAAAATATAACAGCAAACAGTGATACGGAAAATTGTATTTTTCTTTACTACCTTTAACACTGATAAAGTGAAAATCTTTAATATATACGGCGCACCCTGATTTTTTCGCAGAGTGCAAACAAATATTTTTCATTTTTAAAGAAATTTTTTTTTTATTTTTATAAATAACGTACGTGTAAAAATTGAGTAAAAGTGAAAAGCAAAATATTTGTAAAAAGTGCATAAAAAAATTTGAAATTAATTCATTTATTCTAAAATTTCAGCTACACAATATGATAAGCTTATAAAAAAAAATTATACGAATATGTTAAAAAATTTAAAATATACATAAAATCCCAATTATTTACTTTACAACATGAAGAAAAAAACTAAAATCATTTTCAAACAAAACTTAAACTAGAAACAATGCATAAGCAATAAAATATAGATAAAATTCCATATGTACGAATTGTGAACTTATGAGTTAAAATTCCATAATTCATAGCAATTATTAAAAAAATGTCGCTCCATCAATCAACATTATTGCCAAGCGTTGCAAACTGTCTGTCCAGGCCACAAACATTTGTTTGTCGTTGCAGCACACGGTTTGTCCAGTTGGCTTGGGAGCGGTGAGATGAAACAAATTAGTAAGAAACTTGGGTGACAAAGTAAGGATACAAACAAGCAGGCAAACACAAGGTTAACGCACGTCAAGCGTTTACTGTGGCAACAAACCGACAGACAGACACACTTGCGTGTATGCAAATCTATCTAAAAGCCTCAAGCAATTAACCATAACAAATACAAAAAGGATATCAGCAACAGAAACCAAACCAAAACAAATGTAAAGCAGCTCAAATTTCATGATAATAACAAAACAATAACAACTAACAACAACAATAACAATAAAGGTCACAAAAGACTAACACACAATAATTAACATTAAATTAAAAGTCAAAGCCACAAAACAAATTAGCAACCACAAATTGTGCTTAAATAAGAAAAAAAACATAACACCCTGCTTAATAAAAATCTGTTAACCGTAAACGAAAACAAAAAAAAACAAAAAACAACAAAAAAAAAAATTCACAAATTAATAACTACAAAGTAACGAATTTGTATAACAAAAACGAAACGAAACAAAACAAAATAAAATAAAATAAAAACTACTAATGTTGCTGTTGTTGCTCGAGAGTATTGCACGCACTTTAATCAACTCCAAGCAAATCCGTACACGGGGCGTATGAGTGACAGCCACAAATGGGAGAAGAAACAAAGGCTGGAAAAAAACTCAACATAAATAACTAAAAAAACAAAAAAAAAAAATTATAGTAATAAACTACGGCTCATTCCTAATACCTACTGTGGCACTGCTTACCACAAAATAGGCTTCCTCAAAAGCTAATATAGAGCGCAACAGCACGACAAAAAGGAATTTACATCAGAAATAGTTAAGGCAACTTCCGCAAAGGCAGTCCAGACATTTTGGCAACGTGAGATCGCACAGAAATAAATTATAAAAATACAACAAAGTCAGCATTTAATCAACTTTTTTTATTTGATTAGTTTTTTGTTTTTATTTTGTATAAAATTTTTATTATATATTCTTTTAACACTTGTAAATACGTTATCAACACGCATAAATAAGAAAAGGAGCAACGTTAACTCCTTTCAAACGAAACTAAACCACAAACTGGCACTCAACACTCGTCAAAGTGAGCAGCTACCATACAGGATTTTCGAATTCTCAACTCAAAGGAATACAAAACCACAACAACAAAAACAACAACAACAACAGCATCCACAGAGACAGCTATAAACGTTTGCATTACTTTTAAAAAAACAAAAATAAAAACAAAATTAAAGAAATAATAAAACGTTAACAGTAACAAAAACACAAAGAAAATAATCGCCACCGCCACCATGAGTGATTCAGTTTTTGATAAATTCACAGCGTTGCTTCCGAAAGCACATTTCATCACACTTTGGCTAGCATTCAATCTGGCACTGATAGTGCAGGAGCCCACGAAACAGATTGCCTCAGTTGATGCTGCGTAAGTATTATTGCAAATATTCTATTACATTGAATTTCTTTTTTCTTCTATTTATTAAAATATTTTAGTACTTATATCATTCAGTTAGGGAATCCATAATTCTAGATGAAATATATTAAGCTGTTGAAAATACTTAATGGTTGTAAATAGGCTCATTTGAAGTACTTAAGTTGACTAATTGTTTTATATTTTAAACATTTTTAGTGAAATCCTTTTTTTTAAGAAATCTATTTAGAAAAAATTACAAAAGCTTTTGAAAGTAAATAATAAAAATTATGTCTATAAGTCAAGAAAATAATTTTTTTGTTTGAGAATATTACACTAAATATAAACGAAAATAAGAAAAAATAATCTAAAGTAAAGAAACTGTCACAAAACTTAGACTGATTCAAATAGCAAGGAAAAGACAAGAACAGAAATTTAGTTAATTTATTGAAATTTGGCTGACCATACAACGCTATTTCTGTACGTAGTAATACTCGAAATAGCGTTGCATGATTAGCCATATTTCAATAAATTAACTAAATTTTTGTTCTTGTCTTTTCTTTGCTATTCGGATCCGTCCAACTTTTATAAAAAATATTTAGTTTCATTTAAAAGCCTTCAAATCAGTGACTATACCTAGAACCAAAACTAAAGACATTTTTCGAGACATCTAATAAAAATATTATTTTTAATATAATAATACATTTAATAATACATTTAACTACTGATATTTTGCAATTAATAAAATCTTAATTTACTTTAATATCAGAGTAAATATATAACATATCAATAATAATTATTCGCATTGAGTCTTTTTTAAAATTGTTGAAAGAGGTTATAATGCTTGTATCTCAGATTAACTAAAAAGATTATTTCTATGAAGATAATAAGAAATAGAATTAACTCAATTTAGCGCAGTCTTTAATTTCGACTTAATTTTTCATTTCGGTAATAATTTTTAGAGTAAGTCTCTATTTAATCCTGCTACTTCAATTTTTTTTTTATTACTGTAAAAGATACTTGTAAATGTTGCAGATCTGTAGTATCTTACATATAAGCAGCACCCATTCATGATCTTTTTATCAATTTTAAATATATTAAATTATCTTAAAATTAATAAAAAAAAGTGTTTGAAATAGTAAAGAATTGCAACAAAAAAGTGTTTTATTTTAAATTAATTGAATTTCCTTTATATTTGACTAACTTTACATCATCAGTGGTCTTCACAAATAACTCATCAGTTCGTTAGTCTGTATATAATATCATAAACTATATATACCAGTCTTAAAGCTGATGTATTTGACCTACAAGCTTTTGGAAAAACTTATTTCAGAAGCATTAATAGTTTTTCTCGACAAACTTCGGCATTTACCTTATCGACAAATACTGAGAATGGGGAATCCAATCTATTACCACTATGCACTTCAACATAAAATACTTTTTACAGAAGCTTACTTTGCTTAAAATAATATTTCATAATATATATTGGGCCACAGGGTAAAGACCGCCTCAAATCTGAAAGATTAATTAGGAGCGTATGTGATATATATATGTGCAACCAACGACACCAGATATTCTATTACAATATTAATAAAATATAATCAAATATTGAATGAAACTTTATTGCTTGGTATAGTACTTGCCTTGACAGATTTTGATATCAAAAATGTTTTCAATTATTATATTGAAGCTATTTGAGCCAGTGCACTTAAGCACTTTTACTCTTTCTTAACTCGAGGTATTTTTAAAACCACTCTTTACGGCTTGACAGGAGATTATTGTTTACCACTCCATCAAACTAAGCAATAATTGACCTCGGATCTGCATACCTTCCCGAGAAGCCTGTAACCATTCTGAGACTTTATAACGCGGTGTTGGTAAGTCTTACAGATTTCGCAAATAATATCAGGGCTCTATCCATTATGTTTTTTTTGATAGGATCTATCTTGAGATCTCTGAGCATGTCATTCGTTCTAATGTACCATGGTACTATGAAAAGTCTTTTCAATTAGTAAATCTTGTAGTGTAGCTTTATGTAGTGAAATTAAGTGTAAACATTTACTCTTTAATTCTTTAACTATATAAATAATTTGGATTATACTTTATTCTCTCTATTATTTCGAAATTTAGGTATACCTACGTTTCATCGTCTTAAAATATTCATTCCAGAAAAACACTCATACATCACATAAGACTGAAAAGTCATAACTATGAAAAATGCGACAATAATTTGATACTAAATTTCTGCTATATGAAAGGAACAAACAAATTTTAATTATCACCAATAAAAACTTATTAAACATTAAACTTTTTATTAATAAAACTAATGAAATAGTCAATAGTAAAACAAATTTAATTTATCATAAAATTTTTATGAGATCATTTGTCTTATTTCAAAGTTTTTAGTTTGATTGACGCGACTTCATGTCTATGTCAAAAATCAGACTCAAATTCTTGCAAGAGTTTCAGAAAGAGTGCAGCATTATTGTTATTTATAATTAATAAAATTTAACATTTTACTAAACTTAAGATATTAAAACTTTGCAATTGTAATATTTGCTTACAATACCTTTTAGCTTACAGTCATATCCAATGTAGGTATGGCTTATAATTACTTATCATATTTAATGAATCCATAAGTTATATGAATACTGACTCATATTTCAAAACAAAAGTATATAGTTTGGTTAATTAAATGTTGATTAATGTCTGTGGACATTCACAATCGTATTAATTTAATAATAGTGTTGAAATGCGATACGCGAACAGGACATCAATATATCCTTAATTGCAGGCAGCAGCGTAATTACAATAATTACTTAATAAAATGTTTTTGACATATAATTTCTCTTGAGTGAGATATTTCGTATTTTTCGAACTTAATCAGCTTTCAGTGTTTCTTTAAATAATTTGTAACTTATTCCCAGTTGACTCATTTGAGGTATTTAATAATTTTTGAGCAAACATTTAACCTTTATTCAAACCAAAATAGTTCTATGTAAGTGTGAATTTTGAAAATGCCAAATAATGAATTCATTGCTCTAAAAGTCAAAAGTCATGATATTTTCAAAAGTAACCAATAAAGTTTATTTCACATTAAATGTTGAAATGCTATGAACTTAGATTTATGAGAATTAGAAAATTTCAATTAATAAATAATTACCTAAAACCTTTTAAGTGTTATCCATAATGAATTTATGGTATATATACGTCAAAAGTACAAAAATTATAAATAAATTTTAACTTTATTGTATATGTATATATGTACTTATAAAGTTAAATTGATATCACTTAGCGCAATTAAAAACCACAAAGTCAAATCAAATCTAAAATAAAGCCTGTGCTTTACCTATAAGTTGCTGGTTGGTTGGTTGGTTGGTTGTAGTAGCAGGCCATTAGATAACTTTCGTTTACCTAAATGAGCGATTTTTCGCCATTTTACTGCCACATTTCTTGCAAGAACCCTAGTATAGAAGAGTAGAGACTAAATCCATTCCACCGAATTTAGATCATTTTAAAGGGCTTTCGTCTTCATCGATGAACAGTCTGATAAACTATCAAAGAAGTATCGTTCTAAGAACCTATATCTTCTGGACACCAAAGCCGGGTATTCACAGAGAAAATGTATTATGGTTTCTTTCCCTGCGGGTTTCCACAATTTCTTCAGTGAGGATTATGGGAAATGCGCAGATTCTCTGAGTGGCTTCCTACACATCAATGATCAGAAAAAACTGCAGTAAGCCTTGCACTGTTCACGCTGTCTCTTTTGATGAATTCCGAGGATCTATTTTTAGTACAGGTGGACCGTGTTAACTTTTAAGTTGCACATAACTTAAGTTCTTTCCATCTGTTATGGGCAAATTACAGAAAGTAGAGGAAGGTACTTCTCTTAATGGTCTCTAGGTGACACAACCATGGAAGCACCAGAGCGGGCTGAATTGTCATCTTTCTTGTTCTCTTCGATGTTCCTATTTGCAGAAACCCAGGTGTGGGTGATATCAGCCAACAGATTTAGCTCATCGATTGCTTCTCTACATTGCTTTACCTAATACCTATTAATCAATCATCTAAATAGTTTTCAGCTTGTAGTATCAAAATTACAATTAAGAAACACTGTTTCGTTGGAATGGATATCATACTCAGCATAGTCTAGTATTGTTTAAAAGTTTCCTGACATCTTACAAGAGATTAATAATTATACAGTGGAATCCAAACGTAGAAAAATGTATTAAAATAAAGCTTCTAACATTTACACAGAAGACTCTAAAACTAAACAACAAGGAGAATACTGTTGCATTGATTGATGTTTGATATGTCTTACTCTATTATTGCTCTTATTATCTTGATCTGATAAGAGTATTTAGATGGTCTGAACTGAAAAATAAGACGTGGTCAAATGGATCTTTTTGACCACATCACAGAATACTGTTAAATTAAGTACGAAGGCTAGGTTTGTAATTTAAACAGATAAGAATATACTTAACGTGATAGACAGAATATGGGAGCGGTAACACTCAAATACTTTCAAAATATGATATACATTAGATATATCGTAAACTGATTTTAGATGTTCTATTTATAGCGCAATATAACATATTAAAACAAAAATCATCTGACCCTTAATGAGTTTAGTGGATACAAAAACACATCGGTGGATCCAATCCACTAGGGAAAGGTAATTACAATGACAATTGTATAGTATATAAACTGTAGTACTTCTCTAACTAGATATGATTTGCAATCACATTATCATTTACAATATCATTTTGCTATAATATGGTCATAGCCTGAAAGGTAGACGCAAAATTAAAATAAAGTTTCTGACTTATAATCTTCGTCATCTCTTTAAAGTGGAAAAGAAAAGATTATTGTGGTCTCAACTGTTAAATAACAATTTTTAAGAAATCCTTTACGAGAATTTCAAAGAAGTATTAGAAATTGGTATCGGAAGCACCACAAATTTCTCAAAATTAATAAATAGGTTAGAATAATATGGTTAACTCCTGAATCAAGTA